TTTTTTTTTTTTTTTTTCTTTTTTTTGGATAAGCAAAGGGATCTTTACTGGCGTTGAGTGAAGTCCTTAAGGCTACTGGCTGGGTTTTTAGGGCTGGTGGGGTAGTGGGGTGATGGGGTGGTGGAGATGGAGGGGTCGCCGTCCACTGATAATGGGAGATGTGGGGGTCATAGTTGTTGTGACTTGATGACATTCCTTTTTATATTACTGCACCTGTTGGCTGAAGATACTTAACTCCCCCGGACAAAAAGTTGTCTTTAATGGATGGGAAGGTATAAATAAATACATGCCCTAAAATGGTTCAAATCATGCGGGTGTGAGTTTAGTTGAATCAACCAAATCGGTCGTTCAAGTGATTGAATCAAGAACGGGAAGGGAAGGGGAGGGGGCGAGAGAGACAGAGGGAGGAGGAAAGGGACCTCAAGCTAAGAATTTCGATCAACTTTTATCAGAATTCGATTAAGAAAGATGACCGATTCGGTTCCATAATTCCCTCTCTCCCTTTCCTCCCCTCTCCTCGTTCCTCACCTAAGGATACAAATGCCACCCTCCTTCTCTCACTGGAGCTACAAATACCACCCGAATCGGTTCACAAAAGGTAGGTGTTGGTAATAGAATATAATGTACAGTAGGCAAAGAGTTCAGATTTTGATTAAAAAAAACCCTTACTTTATCAATCAGTTAATACTTTATAATCCAGGTTGATTATAAATATTATTACTTTTTCAAGTCCGATTGACCATTCTCCTTCCATATACATTTTAGAGTTTCCTGTACGTCGGAATTAAGATGTTTTGAAGTTGTTGATCATATAGTAAAATCAAAATCGGGATTGGAACATCTAGATTTCGATTCCCGCCCCCCTTTTTTTTGACCTCGCCGGCGCCTCCACCACTTACTTATATTATCTTATATACAATCAAAAGGTGTTTCTATAGCATAGAATTTTACCTTGCAATAAAAGCTTATCCAAATTGAAAAGCTATACAAATAACCAATTAATATAATAATTTGCAAAAATGAAAGTATACTTTTTCTTCTCTCAATCTTTCCAATGAACCTTTTCTACTTTACTTTTTTACTGTTATTTAATATCATTATTTTATATCACCAATCTACTATTCAAAATCTTAGATTTCCAATTTTACTTCCAAATATAGTATTTACCAAATTTTTCAAAATATCCCCCCAAAATACTTCCAAAATACCCTTAAACCCACCCCAAATCACTAGAATTTCAACCAGCTCAACTGATCGATTAGCTATCGACCAAAAGATGATCTCGCTAATTTACTAATACCATTTCAAGCCCTCAACTAACTGGCTTACACTAATAGCTGACCGTCAGCACTGTCAGCTAGCTGAATGATCAACCACTCTGCTGCCATCCTGCCTACCCTCCTGCCTGCCTTCCCACCACTCCACTTTAGGACCGAATCGTTTTCGTAGTTAAAAATTTCAACCAAACTCGGGCCCGCATGATTTTAACCCTGCCTTAATGGACTACAATGATTGTTGGAGTTCTACTATCGCCCCTAGAACAAACATCTGTCTTACTTACTCATCCTTGACCAACATATGTACAATGATGTACAGGATAGTATTGTATAGCATTGTCAGGTCGTGGACTACATTGCTTTCTTAAATCTCGATCGAAGCCATCATCTTTGTAGTATGGCATTGGCCGAAAAATAAAGCAACATTATGACGGACTATGACTACGACTCCCCCAACGAAGTCTGAGCATAAAATCTCCTGGATTTGTCGACTTTGGGATGATTCCCATGCATCCTAGCGAGAATGACGTTAGGTTGCTATTGGTAAAGATGCGTTTGGTCATTTTGAACATTGGAATAAGAGGTAAAGCGGTAAATAGATCATCTTGCTCCGACATTCGGTTCCAGAATTCGGCTTCGGTAAGTTCAATTTCCTTATTATATAGAGATTGAAGGCTTGGAATTCTGCTCCTGTGTGTGGCACGCGCAACTTTGTCAATTTTCCAGTTATTATAAAAATATCGAAATAAATGTCCGGCGCCTAACTCATCCCATGAAGATTAAATAGCTTGAGCTATACATATATGTCTCTTGCGCTTTGCAACTATATCCCGCCGTGACAAGCTAGTTGCAGTGCTGTCATTGCAATACTCCCTGAGAAGATCATTCGCCCTTTGACTGACCTCATCCCAATTATTGCTCAGTAATTTTGGTTGAAATATGCCAGCTAGAATAGAATCCAGCTTAGGTTCGGGGCCCCAATTGTTGAACGACAAGCTACAGTGGAATGGCAAGACCAGTTGATCAACAGCGTGATCTAGAATATGAAGGTCCAAACAGGAAGTTGACATTCTGGCTTCATTTTTATGCTTATGTTCAACGTCAAGCCAATGGGCATCTGGAAGGTTGTCTTTGTTGAGTATCCAGTCTGGTACCCAAGTTGGAAGGTTACTTCTCCTTGCGGCCGGATTCTTAACTTCGCATTGATGAAGAAACTCCCAAAACGTGAGTTGGGACTCGGAAAATGCTGTGGAGGCAACCGCAATATGCCGAGCTGCATCTATAAAGATTTCATCGATGCTTTTCGTATAATCAACAATTGGCAAGTCAGGAATGGATACGTAGCAATCCCAAGTTTCCAAGTAGTACTTATCACGGGATTCTGACTGTGTCAAGTGGGAAGAATCAACACCAACTATTCCTAAATGACCGTAAATGATATCCTTCGGATCAGAAGCTCCGGCACCTCTTCGAGCAATCAGGATACTCAGGAGGGTAGCCCAGTCTCTTCCAGTAACCAAGTGCTTTTGATATTTCAATCTTGCTTCATTCATGCCCCGCAACAGTTCCAGAGGATCAGGTACAATCTCTTTGAAATCGACGGGATCTGGCATCTGCATCTGATATTGGAATATTGCCGAATCCTGTGGCGACCACGCCAGGGGATTTCTCTCCATCCCTCAGCAAAAGCTTGAAAAAGGAACTCCACAAGACTCGGATTCGACCAATCTGTACATAAGCTTCCTTTGCCAAAACCAATTCCTTCAGTGAAAAACCCAAACTCTGTTACACCATGTGCTTGAAAGAATATCTTGGGCTGTGATCAAACCCACCTTCGATAATTGAATCGTCGATTCCTGGTATATAACATCCAAGATAGACTTAAGTAAGTGCTTTGTATCTACCGTGCCGTGTCCCAGATAGATCAAGCTTTGGTTCTAATAGCCATATATCTCGCCCATGAGATCCACCTGCTTGTTGCGTTCAGAGTTGCTAGCCTGATTGATACAAATCGCATCCGCCCACAATCTAAAATCATCTTTATGATGGCGCAAATCTTCCAAAGCAGCAGCCAAGTTTGTTGTTACAGAAAACCTCTTTCCATTCAAAAGGATGTCTTTCCTGGCACCCGAATTTCCCCATACATACGATAGCGCAGTGTAAGGGTGATATATATCCGTACGGCATTCTCTTAATGTTGTATGAATAAGACTACAGCGGATAATCGATCCAGGGTTGTCTGCATGGAGGACCAACAAGCGGATTGAACCGGGTTTCTCGGGGTCAAGGTTTGTGTACTTGAATTCCTCTTCGGACATTTTTGATGTTCTGATGTCGATTGTTAGATGAGAATAAAATACGATGATAGAAGTGATGTTAATCGCGGGTTGATGAGGCTGTAATGTGATTTCATTCTGTCCTCATAAAAACCATGTCGTGCAACGAATGTACACGTATATCTGCATCCTCCAACCAAAGATGAACAATTGAATAGCAACGCGCCATATTCTATGGATTTCAATCATACAACCCTTACTTATCGGTAGTGTTCAAAATATGATTGTTGTTCGACTTTCCGCATTAAGCAGTGATGGTGAGCATTGTCCATATATACAGCGTCACCGGATATATAAAACCACTTCAATGTCTTAAGACATGAGCAGCCAATCTCACCATCATGATATTTCAAGTATATGCTTGTCTCTGGCTCATATAGGATAATGGTTCTCTTGAAAGTCCCCTATGTATATCATCATAATGAAGATACTTTACCCTCACGAGTCCATGTGTTTAGGCTATGTTCGTGCCTCCGTCCGTGTAACCTGGAAAGATGTAAGGTTACACTCGTTCATGCGAGTCATGCATATAAAGAACTTAGCTAAGCCTTTAGTCATGGTCAACCCTCACCAAGCAAAACTCTTCGGCCACAACCAACTCACCAGCAGCAAGCTCAGCTCGACACTATTCATGTTGATCTTTACCTCTAACTGCTGACCTGCATAGTGTCATCGTAGTGTGCTGTAGAATACACTAGATTACCACATCTGTTCTTTACTTCCGTTGGTTTTAAAGAGGTTATATATTTGAAGATCGCAATACCCTTCATCAAATAACACATGATCAGGTCGCTTAGCTCAGTTGGTTAGAGCGTGGTGCTAATAGCTTCTAGAAGATTATAATCTATCAGGAGTTCTCCCTCCAATGAGTTTATAAACTCCTCTTGTGTGGAAAAAGAGACGCCAAGGTCGGCGGTTCGACCCCGCCAGTGATCAGTATCTTTTTGCCCTTCTTCTGGATATCATTTTGATACAAAAATAGTCACAATTAGTCAAGAATTGAAGAAGTTGTGATGGATTGAAATTGGGGAGTTGGAAGGTGAATTTTTTGACTACCGAGGTTTTGGAATATCATGTTTTTATTTATTTTGAAAGGGGTTTGGGGATCTAATAATGATTTCTTTATGATATCTGTATCTCTGCGAAACTTTTTGCTTCATCTTTCTATTTTCGTTTTTGGAGGTGTCGATGTGTGTGTGGTACACGATATTAGTTAGTGATTTGATTGGGTGAAGATGAAAATCTTTTTCTCAAGTGGAGAAATACCGAGCGAACGGACTACGGGAGGAGATTTTTCGTAAAGTGGGGTTCAGTGTAACTAACTGGAGTTTCAGAAGAAATGAAGATGAGATATCAAAAGTATTTATTTGAATTCGAATTATGTGGTGCTGTTCTGTCGGGGTGGTTGAAACTTAGAACATGATGTACCGAAGGACTTGAAGTGAGTATGCTGGCTTCGGAAACAAAAGATTACATAGAACTGAAGTTAATATCGTTATTTTGTTCTCAACATTGATTGACGGACATATCCTTGATATGATTTCACGATAGACATCACATCGCGAGTCGCAACATCCAACTCAACCCAACCCGGTACAAAAGATTTCACATCCACTTTCACATCTCCACATCTACATTTTATATTTTCAACGCACCATAGCTCTTTCCCCTCTCCGTCTTTCCCAAAGAAAAAGATTGCCTACCATCTCCTCGACAGTAACTTACAAAACACAAAAAGGAACCAAAAAAACAAAAGATAAATGATTACGGGCCTAATCCGGGATTGAACCGGAGACCTCTTACAATTTAGGAGAACCCAAAGCAAGAATTCTACCACTGAACTATCAGGCCGTGATTATTAGTCATGTTTTTTGATGCTGAGGACTTATTATTTACAGTCTTGTAGTAAGGAGTGCATGGGTGCATGAATGAGTAGTTAGTCTCTCTCCTATTTTAGAAGCGGTGACGGTGATGGCGAGGGTGAGAGGAACCCAATTTACCTCCCTACTTAAATCAGGCCATGATGCTTCCTCATTTTTTTATGCAAGGAATTGTTTACGTAGGAATTTATATACACGTCAAATTGATTAAGGTGGAAAAGAGGCAGATTCTGGAGGGACGCGGATGGATGAAGGGGTAGCTCGGCAAACATATCTAGACCATTTTCACGATGCAAAAAGATAACGAGAATCCCCCTATAGGACTCAAACCCATTAGAATCTCCTTGAAAAAATCCTAACGGTTTATTGGTATAATAATGTCACTTAAATATATCACTAAATCAATCTAAAGCAGTAACAAATTACTATTTGTTTGAGCATTAAAATGAATCAAAAGCTTAAGCAATCAACTTAAATTTATAACATTTACTCGAATACTACCCCTTATTGTATTATTTTGATTGTCATCACTTGGTATACGGAAAAACTTTTTTTGGTTGAATTTATAATTTTTATATTATACACGGAAGCATCATTTTGATCGAATTGTTTTGATTGAATTGTTTAATTTTTCATATTTAATTTGAGTGTTAAATGTTGATAGCGTAATTGCTAATTATTGTGAAAGAGTGAAGGTTGGTAGGTAGGTCATAAAGTTGGCCTTCTCTGTACCGTATAAGGGTCGACGACAATAGTATAGGAGGTGATGTTTATTAAGTTCGATGGTAATAAAGTGGTAAGTGTAAAGTAGTAAGTGTAGTTGTAGTAAATTTAGTGTTGGAATCACTATGGGTGGTGAAGACGGATATACTATAATATGCACTGTATTCGACTCGATCTTCTAAAAACTATGCTACAGATTGATTCTATATAAGGCCGCTAGCACATGCTAGCGCTGGCGTGCCATAGCGTGCCATAGTCGCGTGGTTAATTCGACAATTACTTCGCATATATAGTTTTTATATATACAATTTTTATTCACATATATAATTTTTATTTATATATCATATATAATTTTTCATTTAATAATTTAATATTATTTATAATTATTTATATATATATAGGTACTAATTCAAACGGAAAAACAATATTTTGCAATTAGAAGTCTCCGCTAAGGTAATAAATATAAATATTTCTTGTTCTTTATAGAACGAAAGAGATCTTTTTTTATGTTGTTTATTTTTTGAGTGGAAAGAAAGGAGGCTAGAAGAACAAAAGAAATCTTTTTTTATGTTCTTTATTTCTTAAGTGGAAAGGAGGCTAGGCTCTCTCCAAAGATGAATTTCCTGGCTAGAATAGTTAGCAATCTCCTCTTGAACACCGAAGGGCTCAAGGTCCGGGTATGTACGAAAGATAAAAATCACGATTTTTGAGCTTGCCCTCATCTCTTGACTTTCTTACCTGTTCAAGGATTCTGAACATCACTAGCAGATCTAGTAACCTCCCATCCTCTTTCTTCACTTCTTCGTCTCCCTTCGCTTCTTCTTCTTCCTTCGCTTCTTCGTCTCCCTTCGCTTCTTCGTCTCCCTTCGCTTCTTCTTCTTTCTTCACTCCCTCCTCTCCCTCTTTCTCTGCACACTTAGCGCAATTTTTGATGTTGTGGCACCAATTTGCCAGATCTTGCTCTTTCTCTGCACACGTAGCACAGGTTTCGATGTTGTGGCACCAATTTGCTAGATCCTGCTCTTTCTCTGCACACGTAGCGCAGTTTTCGAGGTTGTGGCACCAATTTGCTAGATCCTGCTCTTTCTCTGCACACGTAGCGCAGTTTTCGAGGTTGTGGCACCAATTTGCCAGATCTTTCTCTTTCTCTGCACACGTAGCACAGTTTTCGAGGTTGTGGCACCAATTTGCTAGATCCTCTACTCTCTGAGAAGGATCGGCACATTTTTGCTTGGATCTGATGGACTCCGGGCAGGGAGTAAATTCACCTTGAATTTCATATCCACAGCTGTAACGGGACACGTGCTGAATGCACATTTTTGCTACGAGATATTATTGGCTTACTTGAGATTGTGATGGTATTGCTTCTTGGGATAACTTTGTGAGTTTGCTTGAAGTCTTGAATAGAAGAAATGTTCTGGAGATGTTCACAGGGGGGCATCGCAAGTTTTTACTTATATGTGGCTTCCTAGGACTGTACTCAATCTATTCCACGTGCAGTGAACATTTCCCATCGGACGTGAACATGCCACCCGAGGGGTATTGTCTGAATCGATTGTATTGAGACACACTATATGGCGGATATGGCAAGTCCAGGGATATTGTAGAGGTATTATGGTGATCGATTGAACAGGCACCTAGGACTTTACTAGCGACATTGCAAGATGAGGGGTATTGTTTTGATATTTTTGTGAATACAATTTCATGAATTGGATATCTATTCACCATTCGTACTTTGCTATTCACTTGAAGTCTACGTAGGCATTAATGCCGCATACTCATTGCAGAAATGATGGTTGATATAAGGGCTATTTATGTATATAAATATATCACAAATATCAATATTGCAGATATGCTTAAGTATTGAAGGTTGTATACATTTCCAATATATATCAGCGACATCTTTCAATTAGAGAAAGTTTAAATATATTGGAATAATTTCACAATATACAAATTCTGATATCTTGAACAACACAAAATCCAAGAAAATAATTGTTAAAGTTTTTTTCTCTTTTTTTTTCGAAAATTCCTATACTTAGGTATCATTAAAATGAGGCATAATTAGAATACTAAAAATACTAATGCCTACATTGTTCACTTCTCCGAACCATAATCCCATGAGCCTCTTTAAAAATGGACCAACAAAGCTTCACTTGCCGCAAGCGTAAAGGTTACAGTACCTGCACCATCAGCCCTTCCAAGCTCGAAGTTTTCAAAGCCATTAATGGCACAGGATCCATCAGCAACTTTCTGTCCTCCAAAGGTGGGACTAGATCCCTTATCAACCCTACTCAACGCATTTGGTGCGGTCAATCTCTTCGACCTCGTGAAGTAGCCTGGATGTAATCCTCTCAGAGTAAAGCTTTCGCTACCTCGGTGTCCAGTTCCATCATAATAATCACTGTTGATCAATACCGCCTTCAAGGGAGCTCTGGCATTATTGTACAAGATGTACACGGCGTAGTTGGAGTTACCCGTGTCGATTTGTTGGATGTAGGATGATCCGGCAAAAGCAGATGCGGCTAACCAGGCACCGTAGTAGGGAGCACCCGCGCTGTATCGTCCCCAGAAACAGTAGAAGCAGTTACCGATGGTTCCTTGATGATAGTAGATGTTCTTGATGTTTAAAGTGGTGGCGTGGAGTGCATAGTCGAGGGTCCAGATGGCGGCACCGAAAGTTGGAGAAACAGTTGCTGCACCTCCACCAGCGACTAAGAAGACCTTGTTAGTTTTTATTTTATCTTTCACTTTTGATCTCATTGAGTAACTCAAGAACTCAAGAACCCAAAAACTCAAGAAAGAAACACAGAAAAAGATCAACGAACCAGAATTTGTCTCTCCCAAAACATATTCCTTGCCCACAGCAGTAGCAGCCCTAGCATCGGCCCCAATCGCAGCCAAGTTACCAACAATCCCACTATGACTCATCAATTGCTGAACATTTCCACCTGGATAATTATGATGGGCATAATCTCTCACGTAAGATCTGACGTGGGCATCACCGCTAGCGATAAGTTCGGCGGCTCCCCAAGTTGGTGGTCCGGAGTTGGAATTTCCGGCCTGGATGATGTTGTTGGCTCCGAGGGCGGTTCCGACTTGTACGTCCCAGCTATTTTGGGAGGCGGCATCCATGGCGGGGCTCCAGCCGTGGGAAGCGATGGGTTGGTTAGCGCCGGGCCAATCTGTGTGGCGTGGGAGGTTAGAATTGTGTTGATGTGGTGATGATTCGGGAGGGAGAGATAAAGGATTGGAATCAAAACGTACATTCTGGTTCATTGCCAAGTTCAATGGCCTTTAAATTCCTTATACTACTCTTTGCAACCTTTGCAGCAG